TAGTAGGTCTTCACTGCATTGATGCAAACCTGTTGCGTATAATTCTTTAAAATGTACCCAATGCTTTTCATTGAGGCAGGGAACATCATGCCTCAACGAAAAACTGTCGTACGTACACTTTTGAGAATAAACACAAAGCAAGTGACAGATGTACCTACTGCCACCTCACAGGATTTCTGAGTGTTTCTTGCATATGGGCGTTATATAGGTCCACATGTCATGAAAGAGTAAACTCAAATTGCCACTAGACTTCGTTCTACACTCGCATATTTTCATGTAAGACTGACGCAGGATGATAGCATCAAAATAGCTGTAGAACATCAAACCTGATAAGATCGGCCTTTTTTGATTAGCGATGCATTATTTTTTGTTCAAAATTACAGGCACACGTGCTCTCATATTAAGGGAACACCCCAGTGGTTGACAACCTCTCGCCGGAGGCGATTCTGTGGGCTATTCGAGCGCGGGGAGGTGTTTTCAGTTACTGCACCATTGCTGCTCACCAAAACATCGGTATCTTTACCGTTTATATTTGGAAAGAAGCAGTTGAATGTTCTGTGCGGACGGCTTCAGCATTCTTCTCTTTCTCTTTTGTTTATGTTTTATTCCGCTGTAATCGTCCCTTGCGTGCAGTTCTGTCGATGATGAGCTCAATCGATTTCTGTAATGGATATTATGGCTTCTTACAATAGCGCTATTGGAAACCATCCATCCTTTATTCACACGGTCTTGTCACGTGTTGCCAGCAATAAATGAAGGCAGCGGGTTGGTTGGGAAAGGCGGTGTCAACTGAAGTCAAAACCGGAATTGTTTCCAACAGCTTTGGTCTCCGAAGTATTCCTTTATCAGTATATTTGTTTCAATTTCGCCTTTTTACTGCAAAATTCTTTATCCGTAGATCAATTGCATCCACAGTCACCTACCCTCATAGGTGTCACATAATTGACACGCACAGAACTTATCACAGCAGGCTGGGAAATAAGTAATATCGCACCCTTCGCGATAGTAAAGCATTGAATATCGTTTTTTTTTGATTTTGAGGAAGCTATACATGACGTTTTCACTTCTTCTTGCATCAGGAGTGGTTGCTTAGATGACTTGTTCTCTTTCTTTGGGGTTTATAAACCTAGAGGACAACGACAACGTTTCAACAGTTCAATAAACAGCTTGCAAGAAAGCTTCTCTGATAATTTTCCTTCCTCGAATTGTAGTTATAGCCCTCCTCTACCGTTTCTCTGTCGCTAAGGATTTCAGATAATTGTGTAAAGGGAGGACGCGGCGATCAGTGGGCGATGTATTGTTTGAGTGTGCGATGGCTGTTTCATGTTTTAGATTCCTCTTGGATAAAAATAACATATTTTTAAGTACCATATGTATTAGTGTGGTATCGCCTCATGGATTCGCATAACCTTTCTTAAAGCTGATTAAATTACAGTAATTTGTTCCTTTTTCAATGACGGTTTTATCCTCCTCTATCCAACATTGCATTACTTCTTCCTTTTTCAGACCATCATGTTGGCCAGGCGGGTAGGCTCCATAACATGTAATCTCTACAGAGGGGTCACAACCTACAGGTGCCGATTTTTGCTGGTCTCGTTCTCTTTTGATTTTGCGAACTTGCTATTTCTCAACTCTTTCAGTGGATTGACATCTGAAGAGTTCATGAGAAATGTGACAAATGAGCCTGTGTTGGAGTATAAAAAAGGGAGCGCGGAAAGGCTGGCACTGGAAAAGGAACTGGAGAAAATGAGCAAGGTGAGAATGAATAGGGATCATAATAATCAAGCTACTCTTCCTGTTCAGAAAAGGGTGTTGCTTCAATGCTCAATCTTGAGCCAAACTCTGCCTGAGTCCATGCTCACCCGGTCCCTGTGCCTCTCTTACGCGAGTGCCGACCATTATGCCATCAAGGCCGATGTAAAACTTGCGGTCCGAGCGATCTGCTATTAGCGCGTCACTCGATTCGCAAAGTCTGACCCCAGCCTTAGGCATGTTTCACCTTGTCTTGAGTTTGGTGGTATACTCACTGTAGTTTCTCAGCTCTCATATTTCTTTTGTGATAAGCAGTTTAACCCATTGACCAGCGAACGTAGAGGAGGATGTTTAGCCGATATTGCAGTATTTCGTATTGGGAAACAGCAAATCAAAAGATGTGGTTACTTGTTCTTCACGCGTTGTCTTTATATTTGTTTACAGACCCCCACAGATGTTCCGATTAGGATTGGCGACAGGAAAATTTTCAATGAAAATATCCACTATCAAGTAATGGTGAGTTTTTTTCTCAGTATATGAAAGTTTCCTTATGCTAGATGCTACTCTTTGATATTTTTGTTTCACACTTTCTTGTTGTTCGTTCCACTGCGTTCGATAAGAGAAAAATGTGCGTTCTGTGAATCTTCACACTTTCTTGTTTGGAATTGTGCAGCGATACTTTACACTTCACACTGAATAGAAGCGAAACATTTTTCAACAAAATGCTGCTGAACGGTTGAATTTATTGCATTAGGTATGGAAGATAATGGTATGAAAGCGAAATGGAAATTATTACGAGCGCTTCGATCAGTTTTATAACGAGTCTGAAAGATAAAGATCATATCTTATTAAACAGCGGGAAGCGTAGATGGCAGTTTCTATCAATTCGTAGGGTTGAGTAGGATAGCAATTGACCTCCGGTTCCAGTCTTATCCATATTCTTAGGTTGTTTTTCCTTGGCAAACGTTTCGGTGGTGGGGAGGTGTGCGGCATTGTTGGCGGGGAGCGTAGTACTTTTATCGGTTGTCAATTGGAATAAAAGCATAAATCATGAACACCTCATACTTTTTCTTCTGAATGGCAAAGTACGAATCATTTAG